GGGGGAGGGAAGGTGGGGAGAGGAAGAGGTGACCTGGAGGTGGGGCTCGACATACCTGGTTGGGCAGGCTAGCCAGGAGATAAAGCACAAAGTCGCCGACCCACTGCAGAAGCTGCTGCAGCGCCTGCAGCGTGTTCATGTCTAGGACAAACTCCTCAGTCTTGAGGTTGATCATAACCTTGTCGATGTCTAAAAAGAACAAGGTCAGAGCAGTCAGAGCAGTCAGGGTGGCCAGGTCCTCATGAGTGAACGCTTTGCCTGCTACCATTCAGGCCCTGCACCCCGCACAGACTGAACACCCACTGCTCTGGCCCTGGTAGGAGCCCATGCCAACATGGACGTGCAATGCAGCACAGCAGGGGCTTCAAGGAGGCAGGCTGGAGAGGGGCCAGCACCAGCTGCCTGCCCACTTGGGCCGCCTCTCAGCTGCTCTTGGCCTCCAGGCCTCCACATACTTGGGACATTGCAAATGCAGACCTGGCCCTGTGGGGAACATCATCTGGGCTCACAGTCAGGGCCACCAGCAAGGGAGGCGTCCACCTGGTCAGTGGTGGCCTAGTACCTATTTACACGCCACAGGTGTTTCTCAGGTGGGTCCTAGGGTGACATGACTCCCTCTGTCAGGAAGGACTGGCCATGAGCAGACCAGGGCAATCACAGCCACTCTGCATGAAGCAGCAGGGGTTGCTGGCTAACCTACTGTGCCCCTGCAGAGGGATCACTGAACAGTCACCACAAGGTACTGTAAAATGACACCAGGAGCCAGGCATGGAGGCCACACYCGTTATCCCAGTGACTCAGGAGGCTGAGCAGGAGGATAACAAGTTCAAGGTCAGCCTCGACAATTTAGCAAGASTGTCTTGAAATATAAAACAGAAAGGGCTGGGATGTGGCTCAGCGGCCAAGCACCCCTGGGTTCAGTCCCTGGTATCAATAACACTGATAATACCAGGAGGAAAAGCCTCTTTTCCACTTCCTRCCATATCTGTAGTGTGAGCTTGTGTGATGCACTGGCACCTGGGGGCTGGTGTGTGCACGGGGTTCCTGGGGTTGCCACTCACAGAAAAAGGCCTGACCGCAGAGGCCAGGCCTGGGTATCGCCATGTGGAAAGGTGGCAGGCAGGAGACAGTGCCCCCATCCCCTAGGGAGGCCTGGGAGACAGAGGCTGCTGGGGCAGTTGGTCATACCTCTGTGCCACCACATTACAACAGCAGCCCCTTCCCTGCTGGGTGGTGACCCTGACGTGCCACGGGGTGATGGGGAACTTGTCTTCTAGGTAGTTCCAATTTCCTCTGAGGGCCACATGGCCACACATACTGTGTACTCAGCAGTAAGTCAGAAACCTGATTGTTTGGGGCAGTCCTGGGTGTGGAATCCCAGGCCCTGTGCACACCAGGATCTACTGCTGAGCCCCACTGAGCCCCAGCCCTGGCCTGGGAAGCCTGGAGTTTTAGAAGGGAAATGTTAGCTGGGTGCATGGCACARACCTGTCATCCCAGCAACTCAAGAGGCTGAGGCTGGAGGATCTCAAGTTCAAGACTAGCTTCATCAACTTAGCAAGACTGTCTCAAAAATAAAAATAAAAATGGCTGGCATGAAGCTCAGTGGTCAGCCCTCCTGGGTTCCATCCCCAGCAACACACACACACAAGCACATCTGCTGTTCCTTGGCAAGTACCTATCACTGGGTTTTGTCTAAACTTTCCACCAAGAACCTGAATAATGTTACCAATGAGAAACAAAACAGGTCACAGGCCCTGTCCCAGAGTCTCACCCACCGACGTCAGTGATCTTGGCACAGATCTCGGTGAGCCGGTCACCAGGGCTCTTATCAGGGGTGTTGAGGAAATGTGGACACAGCAGAGACTTGAGCGTGGAGCTGACAGCCATCAGAAAAAGCTTTGTGTGGTAGTCGCACACGCGTGTCACCGTGCACGGCGAGAGCCTGCAGAGTGAGGCCTTCATGGCCAGGATCCGGGTGGAGAGCACCTGGGGAACGTGTGCAGGAGGGCAGGTGGGCTGAGGATCCCAGCTGGGCCTGGGGTGGACACACCCCAGAGCAAGCCAGTTGGCAGGCTGTAGCACCTCGGCTYGCCCACTAGCCTTTCTGGGCCTCACTCCCCTCAAGGCCAACTGAACAGTAGGAGGACCTGCCTCACGGGGTCGGCCTGGGACAGTTCTGTCCCCAGTGGGCACTCAGCGATGGTTATGACARGGCATGGTTCTAGCAACAAGTGGGCGAAGCCAGGTTCACTGCTCGACAGGAGACTCAGTGGCAAGGAAGAGACCCCTGAGGGGGAGCAGAGTCAAAGTACCCAAGTGCTTGGCACACTGGCRAGTGAGTGGTCAGCTGCTGGCCAGTCTCCAGTGCCACCTGACGTCTGGGTTCCATCCCCGCTTCCTCCACTCTGTTTTGGTGCTGGGATGGAACCCAGGGCTGTGTGGACCAGCCCCAAGATGCCCTCCGGCCCCAGCCTCCAAGACAACCTGACCCGCTTCCCACCAGACCCTGCTGTGAGTGGGACCCTGCTGACCTTCTCTGGTTACTACTGGGCTAAAGAAGACCAGGATGTTTTTCTTGGCGCTGGGGATGAAAGCCAGGGCCTCCTGCACGACAGGACTGACCTGCCCCGCTGCCCCCCTGGGCTCTGGTGAGACCACAGCCTCCTGCTCCAAGCTTCCCCGCTCCTCCTGTGGCCACGTCTGAGGTGGCCAATGGCACACCTGGGACCTGGTGAGTTCTGGGGAAGGTCCAGAGACCTGGCTGTGAGCAGGGTCTGGAGGGAGGTCCAAGAAGGCTCACCACCTACTTTCAGTGTTTCACTTTCACAAGAAACTTGTGAAGGACCGGGGTATAGCTCAGGCAGAGCCAAGGCCCTGGATCTGACCACCAGACCCCACACCAAAAAAGCCCCCAAACTAAGGAGGAGGGCCAGAGAGCTCTTCCCAGGTGCAGGGCCCCACAGTACCCTAGCTATAGCACCTCACCTGCCTTGAACTGCAGACGCAGCCTCACTGCCCCAGGCGAGGCCCCCCAGATGACCTGCCCCAGGCGAGGCCACCTCGTGCCTCAGGGAGCCCACCTGCTGCAGGGCTGCGCTCTGGCGCGTGTACTCCTCATGCAGCTTCTCCACCAGGCTCTGCACCATGCCGGGCTGCACGTGCAGCAGGATGTCCCACCAGTCGTAGCCTGTCACCATGCAGTACTCGAGCAGGAACAGCAGGTGCCGCAGGGCCAGGGACACCTCCAGTGTGTGGCCCATGGAGGGCGAGATGCGCAGCATGCTTAGCTGCCAGGAGGGGACAGGAGGGGACAGGGAGGGTCGGCCTGCGCCTTCCAGGCTGGGCTGCAGGCAGCGGGGGTGTGGCTCACCCTGGCCACCCCACACTCCAGGCCCCACAGGCTGGCCTCAGCCAGGCGCTCCCTCGAGGCTGCTGAAGCCTGGGGCACAGCTGGATGTCCAGGAGGCTCCCAGACCTCTCTGAGCTGAGCGCACACTCGTCTTGGGTGGGAGCCCGATGCCTGCCAGGCTTGRGGGCACCACGGGTCCCTGAGGCCTCGGGACAGGCAGTCTGACCGCTTCTGCTCCCTGGGTGCCCACTACGTGCCCACACGAGGCTGGGGCCTTTTCCAGGTCACCTGATGATGGGGCAGCGCCAGCTGGAGGCTGAAGGACTTGCCAGCAATGGTGAGGAGAACAGCAAGGGGACCCACCCCTGTGTCCCTCCTKCGGTGCTCTGGTCATCACGTCCCCAGCTCTGCAGGCGTCCTGAGGGCACTTACCTTCCCGTGGTTGTCGATGCCCACGAGGGCCAGGGAAGTCCAGGACAGCTGCATGGCCTTGAAGTGCACTGCAGGGCCTGTGGTGCGAGGGCGCTTGATGGCCGGCTCATCCACAGAGCGCGGGGTGGCGGAGCTGTAGAAGACCACCATGGTCTGCAGCGAGAGGCGGTGCACTATGTGGACGCTGCCGTCGTGGAAGGCCAAGGCCAGCCCTGGGGACACAGGTGGCATCAGGTACACARGGGCAAGGAGCCAGGAACTGGGCTGAGAGCGGCTGCTGGTGGCCAGCCTACCCCTGGCAGCTGCTCTCCCCACCTCTTGCTACTAAATCCCAAGAGTCAGGCTTCGGGCTCAAGCCCCGAGGCCCTGCGCCAGGTAGCACCTGGGCTGGTGTGGCTGCCAGTGCCTTCCAGGGACGAGGCAGGAAGCCTCCATTAGATGGGACTTGGGAGCTCTGGACCTGCAGGAACCAGACACAGAGCCTCGTGGAGGTCCCTGGAGCCCTGGAGGGAGCCGTCCATGGTGGAGGCCAGCTGGGGCCCTCCGTGCCCGTCACCTGCAGCTGTCTTAGGGAAACCAGAGGTTTGCCCACAGCCAGTCCTGGCCCTGCCCATCAGGAGGGCAGGCAGTTCCACACCCATAGGCTTATAGATAAGAGCTGACATAGGGTCCCTGGAGGTGGCATGGATGGAAAACAAAGATTCTGTCTGTACTCTCAGCTCTAAATAAGAGGCTGTGAGACTGATGCAGAAATTATCATTGTCACTATCTTTGGAACTGGGGATTGAACTGATTCTACCACACCGTTTTGGTATTTGTTTTAGAACAGGATCTGGCAAAATCGCACAGGCTGGCCTTGAACTTGCCATGCTCCTGCTCCACCTCCCGCGTTCCGAAACAACTGGCGCGGCCACCATGTCCAGCAATCAGTGCAAACTGTGGTAAGTGCTCTTCTTCCCAGCCAATTGGAAAACAGAAGGAGCTGGTGGGCAGGTCTTCACCTCAGAGCTGAGCACACGGGCTTGTGCTGGACCGTGAGCCTAACTGCTTGGGGGCAGGCCCACAGGTGTGTACCCACAACCACAAGCAGGCTTGCTAGTGTGGCTGGTCTGGCCTGGGACTTCCCTGCCCCCCGCCCCGTCACGGGCTGATCCTCAACGTCAGATGTCCCACACACTAGCAGTGCAGGCTCAGCCAGAGCCTCCAGCCACTGGGCACTCAGACCCTGCCACCCTGCCGTGGGCTGGCCTCTCCAGGGAGCAGAGCCAGGAGGCCAGGCTCCCCCAGACCCTCCCAAGCTCAGCATACCAAGGCCGGGGTAGAACTGGGTGTCGCTGGCCACCTTGAGGTCAGTGTTGGTGAGAGAGATGGGCAGCTTGGGCAGTGCCACAGCCGACACACGGTCCAGGTCATTGGTGGCTGACAGGATCCGCCACTTGAGGATCATGGGCTGTTTGTCACCAACTGGAGCATTTGGGGGTGGGAAAGTGGAGGAGGAAAGTTGAGACCCGAGGAAGCACGTCCAAGCAGGTCCGAGGCCTGGGTTCTGCCCAGACAGGATGCACTTCTGGGACTCACACAAGGAACGCACAGCTGGTGGTGGGGACACGCACCTGTCCTCAGATGGGACTGACCCAGCAGAGAAGCTGACCACCACCCCAGAGCCAGGCACAGACCAGCCGAGCTGGGTCTTTTGCTCCTCGACGCTGTGGGACCAGAACACGCCAAGGAGCCCACCACCCTCCAGGGCAGTRCCCCAGGGACTGGAGGCCTGGRGCTGGGAGAAGTCAGGAGCCCAGGACAGCCACTGGTCACAGACTCGGGGAGGGGACAGGAGACCACAAAGGCTACACAAGGGACCCAGTCCTCCTGCATCCAAGGCCCCCAGCTCACTGGGCTGCACGGTGTGTCTGGCCCTGACCTCTGAACAGCCCCAGGCTGGCGGGGAGTTCAGGCCAGCACTGTACCCAGGGAGTGGCTAGGCCCAGAGTGGCCAAGACTGCCAGAGGTCAGTCTACCTGTGGCCGTCCACCCTGTGGAATGTCACCTCGTGCTGGAAGACCTGCCTGCTCCCCAGGTGCTAGCCATGGTCCCCAGTCTAAACCACAGGGCACAGCTGGAAGGGGCTGAGCCACCTGTCCCCCCAGTCCCCATTCTGGTCTGCCCTGAGCCAGGACAGCCTGGGCCATGGGCTGGACTGCAGCAGGTGATGAGGGAAGCGTGGGACCTCAGGGCCGCAGGAAAGAGGTACAGGACAGCAGGCAGGCCCRCTGTGGGGAGGTGCCTCGGGCCCAGGGCCGCAGGTCTGCCTGGCCTGGCTGCAAGTGCCCCCCAAGGCTCTTGGAGGACAAGGGGCAGGAGAGGGGCGGGGCCAGCTGAGTCTGCCAGAGGCCCAGCATGGCCCTGGTAGCCCTGCCCACCAGGCGACGTGGTGTCAGCCACTGCCCAAGTGCCCAGGCTGCCTGCGCCCTCAGACACCCGGCCACAGCAAGGAGTCACATGACCACCTCCCAGACTGGCAGGAGCCAGGATGGTCTCATGAGCAGCTTCTGCTCGGCACACTCAAGGCTGACCACTCTAGGGTCCACTAAGGCCAACGGGAATGCATCTCCCTCCAGGGCAGATGAGCCTGGAACCCAGGGCTGACTGGGTGGGTGGTATGGACATCCGTGGCTCCCTGGGGCTGTGCTGGGAGGGCTCCCCGGGGAGGGCCCAGGCAGCAGGAGGCTGGGTCGYGTGCCCTGGACAAACAGCAAGCCCAAGCCTCGGCACACCAGGGTCTCTGGAAGATTCCATGACGTTCAGCATATAGTCTTCTGTGGCTACAGGCCCGTGGATGMTGCTCCTCTGCCCTGCGCCTGTTCCTGCCCATCCCCACATGCCCCCGGGACCTCTGCAGGAACGGGTGGACAGCTCTGCCTCTTAGCCGGTTTCCTTCCCCAGAGACCAGGATGAAGGCCCCTGCCTCGAGGTGGCGTGAGAGGACAGAGTTGAGGGCTGGGAAAGGCCCAGGCCAGACCTGCCCAGGGCCCAGGAAGACTCACCAGCAGGAGAGATCTGCTGAAAGATGTTGTTCACAGGGAGCCCCTCCTTGCGCAAGGACCAGCACTCCACGAGGCTGCTCGTCGGGCTGGACGCACACAGGAGCACCTGGGGTGTGGCTGGGTCAGGCATGGGGACAGGGCCTTCCGAGTGTCCCTCCCAGCCCCAGCACCTCACAGGCCTGTGAACTGGGCCCACACCCTGGAGCGAGGCCGCACAGCACAGGACCTCCCTGAGGAGGGCACAGGGAACCACACAGGGGCTTCGAGACTTTTGGGGCCCACAGGGAATTCAGGTGACCTGGGGGATCAAAGACACGCAGTCCTCGTCCCTGGGGCCTGTGCTGTGTTGCTTCCTGGGGCAGAGGGGCTCTGAGGCCCTGAGCGGGGGTCACCCAGGGTCACCACAGGGACCTCCTGAGAGRAGGCAGGAGGGTCAGAATCAGGGAGCCTGGAAGACACGGTGCTGCTGGCTCTGGGGCTGGAGGAGGGGGCTGGGGCCCAGGGCTGCGAGGCCCCAGGAGCTGGAGGAGGGGACCAGGACTGTCCTTCCCTGGGCCTCAGCAGCTGAAAGCGGGGGATGAGGACTCTTCCTGGGGTCACAAGACCTGGAGCAAGGGGACAAGGACTCTCCTTGGGAGACCCGGTCTGCTGCACCAAGATCTGGGCAGGAAGGCCCCAGTCAGCTCCAGACTCAACCCGAGGGACAGACCCATGCTGCTTATGCCAGRGAGCACGGTGGCGGCTGCTCACCTGCTCGGACATGTCCCGGGCCAGGAACTTGAGGTGGGTGATGGCGGGGAACTTGTCCTTGCGACTGAGGTCTGTGGTGCAGCGCATGAAGAGCGAGGGCAGGATCTCTGTGTCAATGCGGCACTTCTCGCTGACCACGCTCACGCACACCTTGTAGAACTGCACGGGCGAGGCACTGCTGCCATCCGCGGTGGCCACCACAATGTTGCCGCCACCSGTGAAGGCGATGTCAGCCAGGGCCACGCGGCCACGCAGCCGGCACAGGCTCTCGGTGGAYGTCAACACCTGCCCGCTGGGTTTGAGCAGGGACACTGTGACCAGGCCGCTGACGGTCACKGCGATCCAGCCCTCCATGGGCTTGCCGCCAAACAGCGTGAGTGACGGCGAGAACTTGACGCGGGAGAACTTCTCACCGAAGCTAGAGGCACCTGACTGTAAGGGAGAGGCGAAAGGCCTGCTCAGCCTGGGGTCTGCCTTTCCTGACCCGACAAGCCCCTCTGGTCACTGCACCCACAGAAACACCAGCACACTGGAAGGTGGCCAGAGTCCCCGGGCCTGAGCCCGCTGCTGCCTAGCCACGGGAGCACTGCATGATCTGGGCCTCTCTGAGCCTCAGTGTCCTCTGCTGCTGACAGAAGCAGAACAAGTCTTTGGAGAACCGCTGTGGGGAGGAAACAGGTGAATGTACACACAGCGTCATGACTTTTCTCTGTAAAAGGCCAGACAGTCCYTGCTGCAGCCCCCGGGCTGTTTCTGCCTGTGTAGGGCAGAAAAAGCCACAGACAGAGACACTGTCCACAAACAGGAGTGGCTGTGTGCCAGCAAAGCTTCATCTAGAGAGGCAGGTAGGGAGCCCAGCACAGTGGCACCTCCTGCTACCCCAGCCACTCAGGAGGCGGAGCAGGAGGATCCCAAGTCCAAGGCCAGGCTGGGCAACTTAGCAAGACCCTGTCTCAAAATAAAATAAGAATTTTCCAAAAAGGGCTGGGGATGCGGCTCAGTGGTAGACTGCTTGCCTATGATGTGTAAGGCCCTGGGTTCAATTCCTAGTACTGCAAATAAAAAAAAGAAAGAGTTCACAGGTCACCGGGTACAACCAGTCCACGTGCGGTCCACAGCCCCGGGCATACCACCTGTACTGGTAGGACATCCGCCTTCTGGCTCGGGCGGTGTGCTCTGGGAACCGAGGGCCCTGGGTGCAGCGGGACTCCAGGTCAGGTGGCCAGTCTGCCTGTAGGATACACTAAGGCAGGTGACCACGTGAGGATGGCCCCAGCTGCAGCGTGGCTGGGCCTGAGGACCTGGTGAGACTCAGTGAGACCCAGACATACAAGTCACAGTGACCCAGGGACAGGAGAGTCAAGGACAGCAAAGTTTAGAGATGGATCTGGGTGCAGGGCTGGGGAGGGATGGGGCTGCTTGAGGGGGCAGGGTTACCTGGTGGGAGGCAGAATGTTCTGGAATCAGAGGGAATGGATGCCCTTTGTGGAAACATGAAACACCTCTGGACTTTACGTTTTACACAGGCGAGTCACGGACTGTGAGGATCGGGTCTCAACAAAACTTTTCTACGGACTGTGAGGATCGGGTCTCAACAAAACTTTTCTAAACAGGTCAAAGAGGTCTTGAAAGTCTCGCGGAGGCTACACAGGCGCAGCCAGGACAGACTCAGGGAGCGGCAGGGCACAGACCCTGGCCAGCCTTCTCATCATGTCCCCAGGACGATTCCGCCCACCAGGAGGCAACTGGCACAGAAGCCTGGAGCGAGCAATGACGAGAACGTCCCRGGCCCCAGCGGCCCCACTCCTGACTGGCTAAAGCACAGAATACAGAATTCAGAACGTCACTGATCAAAGGTCAAGGGTGGGCTGGGCTTTCGGGACATGGCCATCCGGGAAGTGGGTGGCTCACTGAGGACAGCGGCCATTGGCTAACAAGCAGCCTGCTGAGGACCAGGGCTGCAGGCTCAGAACACACCAGGTTGGAGCACAGGGGCTGATGCTGCTCGTTCGCTCAGGACACCCACCTTCTCCACGTGCAGCGCCAGCTTCACACCATTGTGCAGCCAGGACAGGGCCACGATGGGGTCCCCCTCCACCATGCTGCCCAGGCAGCTCTCCCAGCTGTTGGCCAGGTGGTCCGCCATGCTCCAGCACTTGATCTGCCCGTCGGCATCAGCGGAGAGGAGCCGGGAGCCTGTGGGAACAGGGCGTCAGGAGCCCTCCACAGCGACAAGGGTTCGAGAAGGCAGAGCTGAGCAGCYGGGCCCACAGTCAGGGCACAGAAGGCCTGTGGGAAGAGTGGTAGATACTCTGGGACCGGCCGGGCCAGCAGTGCCCCCTCCCTGGTGCTCACCTGACTGGTCCCACTCCAGGCAGGTGATGGCCTCGCGGTGCTGGGAGCTGACGGAGTGCACATCCCAGGGGTGCTCTGTGTCCAGGATGTGAATCGTGCGGGTCAGGTCTGAGGGTGAGAGCATGAGGGGCAGGTCTCACTTGGCCTCCTCCAGCCAGCAGCCAGCTTCCGGGACCTGTGGCCTGGGGGCTGGGTGGAGACCCTGTGGGGAACCCCAGAGAACTGGACGGGAAACACAGGACCACAGGAGCTAACAGTGGGTGTCTCGCGGCCAAAGAACTAGGTGGCTCTTTTTCAATGCCCTGAACCCGTGCTTCTGTGACTTCCCCCCACAAGAGCACATGGCCAGAACAACAGACAGTGGGGGAAAGTCACTGCACACCTCAGAAGCTATCCACAGCCATGTCAGGACACTCAGCCCAGAACCAGGCTGAGTGTCCTACAAGTGTCCTTCAGTGATCCCAGCCCAAGTTCCATCCTTCCACTCATGGGGGAGGGCAGCTCCTGCACCAGGTGTGGCACCAATAACCCTCTGGACCCCAAGCGCAGACTATAGCAGGGCAGGGGAAGGGCTCTCTGCCAGGTCTGGTCAGCAGAGAGCCTGAGGCAATGTGCTGGGAGCAAGGGTGACAGTGTGCAGGTAGGTGGGCAGGGGCACACCCTGGTCATCGCTGCGGAGGTCCGTGGTGAAGGCAATGAGGTTGCGGCAGGACCAGGCACAGGCCAGGGGCACTGATGGGCAGTGGGTGCTCTTGGGCCACTTCTCCCACTCACAGACGTAGGCCAGGTCCATCGTGCCACTCACTGCTCCTGCAGAAAGGAGGTCGGGCTTGCCAAGGGCTCCAACTGAGTGGTTCTGGGACTGAGATGGCCAGGTCCCTGAACTTGGCTTCAGCGTGAGCACCGGAGGAATGTAATTCTCCGTTTTATTCAGATAGGATCTCTATGCTGCCCAGGCTAGTCTCAAACCCCTGGGCTCTAGTGATCCTTCTGCCTCAGCTTCTCCCCCAGTAGTGACAGGTGTGCAGCAGCACCTGGCTGAGGACTCAGGTTTCAACAGCAAGGTAGGCCTCCTGGGGAAGCAGTACCTGARTGAGGCACACCAGAGGGAGGAGGGTTCAGCTGGCAGGAGTAGCCAGGGCAAAGGCCCTGGGGCTGGATCACACCTGAGGGATGAGAGCAGGAGAGCAGCGGGCTGCTCCTGGGCCTTGTGGGTGCCAGGAGGCCTGGCACCTAGGTAGGTTTCAACATGCCCACAGGGGCCTTCTAGGGGCAGACTTGGAGGCCCAAGGTGCAGCCCTGGACAGGTCVGGTGACTGGGCTGGTCCAGGTAAGCAAGGACAGGGGTGTAGACACTGAGAAGTGAGTGGACCCTGTGTCTGTAAAGGCTGACCCAGGGGCGCACGAGCTGGGGGAGGGGCTGGGCAGCCGAGCCGGGGCTCCTAGGCTCTGCCGGGCCGGCACCCGCGGTGGAGCCCAGGAGAGCGGAATGACCACCACCCCATTTTCCTCTAGCGCTCCCTBGGCTCCACCGAGATGCACCCACACACCCTTAACAGTCTTGCAGCCCTGCCCCCAACTCCGTTTGACTTCAGGCCCGGGAGCCGGCCGGCGCACCCTCGGGGTGCGAGGACCCCGCCCCCGTGGCATCGTGGACACCGCCCCAGAGTTCCCCCGCAGCTGGGGACCTAGCACCCTTCAGCTCCAGCCCGCCCTCTGACCCCGCAGGCCCCGCCCCCGACCTCCAGGCCCCGCCGGCCCCCCGCTACCTGTGCCCACCGGCTTCCGCTCCGCCCGCCTCACGCWACGTGCGGCCGCCCGCCGCCGGCTCCAGGCACCCAAGAGCGCTTCGCAGAGACTTCTGGGACCGCGAAGGCTCTGGCTCCGCCCCGCTTCCGGGTTATTTGCATAAAGCAATTCCTAGTAGGCCTTGTGCTGAATTTAGTCGGAAAAATATTATATTTAGCTAAAAAAAAGATATTTTGTCATATCTTGACCATAATTTCATTTCCTTGCGCTGATTTCGATGTAATATACTAAAAGGATTGAATAATTGTTAAATTTTTTTTTAGGAATTTCACCTTCACTGTAAAGTGTTTGAATATCTGCCCTGTAAATACCGAAAAGGAGGGAGGCTTGATCGTGCTCGCTTCGGCAGCACATATACTAAAATTGGAACGATACAGAGAAGATTAGCATGGCCCCTGCGCAAGGATGACACGCAAATTCGTGAAGCGTTCCATATTTTTGGTGCCTAGTGTTCAGGCAGGGAACCCGGAGCCCCCTTMCAGGCGGTCTCAGCTCTTCCCATTCCTTTTCTGTCTCGGTGGGGAACCCGAGGCTCCGTTGGAGGTCCGGGTGGGGAACCCTTTAAGCCGGGTGACATCTTAAAGTGAAGCTCTGGCACCCTCAAGCCTCATCTCAGCAGGACCATCCGGGTGTGGCCAAGCCTGGAGGGCAGCGAAGAACCGCCCGAGCTGCGGCCACGGCGGCTCTCCAGCCCGCGCTGGCCCGGGGCTGAGTTCCCGGCGCTTCCGACCTTTCACTGGAGGGTTCGCAGTGCGACCTGCGTGGGCGTCCTGCCCGAGGCCCCGGGCGAGGGGCGCGCTCCCGGAGCCTCGCGGGAGCTTCTCCAGGACACCAGGGGTGTCGCTCACCCCGCCAGGGCAGAAGGCCGGCGACCCCGGCGAGCGGCGACCAGCGGCGACGACCTAGGGCCCAGACCAGCCTGGGCGAGACCCGCGGCCTTCCTCCGACCGGGCAAGGAGAGCTCGGCGGGAGCCGCTCCCCAGGAGAAGTGCAGCGTCCCGCAGGCCACCGACTCGGCGGGAGCGCGGCCCGCACGCTGGCGCGCAGCCCACCCGCACCATCCGCAGGATTCCCGCGGTCCCCAGCATCGGCCATACATTCCATATGCTCCTCCCGCGACCTGGGCTCATCAAAGGAAGGACAGCGCGCTTCCCGGCCCGGAGGAGCCCAGGGAGAGGGGCGAGTGCCCTGGGGGCCCTGGGGATGAGAGCCCCTGCAGAAGCTGGGTCCCTCCACGGTGCATCAGCACGGGCCCACCTGCCGCCCTAACGCGGCGCGGGGCCAACTCTGCCTCAATTTCTGAAATGTCGGAGACATTTGAGCTCATTCAAAACAGTGGTCCAGATATCAGACGCTGCCCAGGACCAGGGTCCAGTTCCCCAATGAGGTTAAGAGAGATTGCAGATAGCCCCCATGACTGGGCCAGGGCGTTGGAGGCGCTTGGGTGAAGAGCCTCAGGTCTGAAATTCCCTCCCACACAGCTGGAAAAAATAGAAATGGAGATGGGTTTGGGGCCCCCTCCTTCTGGAGGCTGAGGTAGGAGGATGGCCAGTTGCAGGCCAGTCTCCGCAACATAGCAAGATGCGGTCTCAAAGTAATAAAAAGGACTGGGGATGCGGCCCAGTGGTAAAGCACCCCTCCATTAAATCCCTGGTACCCCAAAGAAAGAATAAAAAGTTGGGGGGAAATGCTAAATTGTAATCAGAAACGAGAAGCAAGAGGTCTTCCATAAAGGAGCAAGCTACCTCACAGGGACCAGTTCACCTACTTCAGACAGGGAAACCAAGGCACAATTAAGTGCTGTAATAGGCTGAATTGGGTCCCCCCAAAAGGCATATGGAAGTCCTAGCCCCACAACCTCAGGGTGTGACTTGATGGAAGTGGGTCCTTATAGATGCACAGGTTAAACCGTAGTGGTGAGAGGGCCTTAACTCCTGCGGCCAGTGTCCATGCCAAACATGTACGTTTGGACCCAGACACGCAGAGGGGAGACCCTGTGAAGACACACCGGGAGGAGCCTGCCAGAGCCAAGGCAGGCCGGTGACGCAGCCACCAGCCACCGATCCAGGAGAGGCCCCTCTGGGGCAGCTGCCGGCACACACCCGACCTGACCCAGGCCCCAGGGAGGAGACACTCTGGGACCCACAGTTCTCCTTCACTGCAGCTGCAGGACATGCATACAGTGACTCACCTGAGGCCACACAGCTGGCACCAGTGGGCACAGCCAGCATGGCAGAGTGCTGACGGCTAGCGGTGTCTCAGAGAACACGGGCAGTATGTCTCACCACAGAGCCTGGGTGAGGCCTGAACCCTCTGACCAGGACCTTAAAAGACACCATTCAGCCTGCAGCCAGAGCACCAGAAATTTATTAAACACTCCCCTGTCCTCCAAGCACAACTAGCCACGCACAGGCACACAAGAGGGCAGGGCCCACCAGCATGAGGATACTCTGGACCCCTGGGCCAGAGCCAGGCTGGGGCAGAGGATGCTGGGTCATAGAGGGACGGGGTAGCTGAGGACAGCGGCTTCTGGCTGGAAGTCCTGGATCCCTAGTATGAAGGGGAGGGCGGGACAGGACAGGACACAGACATATCAGGAAGCATAAAACCAGCCCTTGAGATGCAGCGGTGTCCTAGGGTGCAGGGCCCAAACATGCGTGCGCACACACTCACACACACACACACACACAGAGAGAAAATGCTCCTGGGGTGAGGAGCAGAGAGCCACCCCCACCCCCACCCCCCACCCCCCACCAAAGAGCTAAAAACTAGGAAAAGTCAAGCAAAGGCTGTGACCAAGCCCACTATTTACCAGGTGGGACAAGTGTTTTTGTTTTTTTCTTCAAAAAGGAAATTTAAAAATCTACAACAAATCATGCCAAATTCATAAAAAGTGATAAAAACCCAGCCTCTCCTACCTCATCTGAGCTTTAAACTGGGCCAAGAAAGATAATAACCAAAGAAACACGGAAGTACCCAGGTCAGAACTCCCTACCGAAATACAAGTCTGGGGTGGGGTACTGCAGGGTTGGGACAGTTTGGGCAGCTCAAGCCCCGATGTTCATCTGAATAAGAGAGGACGGTCAGGGCAAAGGTGAGAGAGCCACCCAAGGGGACAGCGGTTGTTAAGGACAAATTCTAAAAACATGGTAGGCATTTTAGCAGATGGCACATGTCTTGGCGCTGGGCAAGGTGGCAGGTGGGCACTGGGTGGCCTCCATCAGCTGTGCTGCTCCAGGTAGGCAGACAGAAGCAGGCCGGGAGGCAGGAACTGTAGGTGCCGGTTGCTGACCTTCATCTGTCGGCGGCCCTCCAGATCCGCACCTGTGGCAGCGACAGGCAGGCATTAATGGACTCCAGCCCCTGCAGGTGGGGAGTAGGACGGAGGGGCCACAGTCTCCAGGCCCCGGGCTGGACTCACAAGGACTAGAGCTGCCCTGAGTGCCTCTGACTGGACCATTTCTCAGGCGGAGACACTGAGCACACAGGCCAAGTGGACACTGTCATGTGTGTGTCGCTGAGTACTTGGTCTCCTGTGGTCTCCCGGTCTGCACGGGAGGCATCTTCATGGTGCCCAGGCCCCAGGGGCGCCTCCCCTCCTGGCCAAACAGAACCAGCCTGGAACACCAGGTTGGCCCCTCCTGGAGCTGGTCTGGGAGCCCTTCTCCCTTGCCCTGGGTCCTCCAAGACCTGGACACAGCGTGACCCTGGCAAGCAGGGCCCCCACCAACCAAGCCCCTCCACCCTCAGACTGGGGAACAAAGGGAGCACAGGGGAGGAGCCTCCCAGGGTTGCCAGGAAACGGTCGCAACAACTCCAGGCAGGAGACAGACAGGGGTGGGAAGCCAGGACCACCAGGGGCACCCGGGGCTGGCAAGGGTCTGCTGTGCCCCTCCCAGAAAGGGCTGTCCTGAGACCACCCCATTGGGCCCGGGGAGGGCGCCTACAGACACAGGATCAGCTGGGCTGGCTTTCAGGGTGCACAGTCCCTCCAAGCCAGGCTTGCACGCCCCGCCAGGCCCTCTCCCCTGCCCTGGGAGTGTGGATGGAGGATGTCTGACCATTTGCCCAGCTCTACCCAGCAGGGGGCTGGCACACAGGGCATTTCTGAAGGCAGCATCCTAGGGCCAACCCTTTCTTGAGCCGCACCCACCCAGGACACTTTCCTGCCACCCAGGCTGCTTCCTGGCTGACCATGTGGGGTGGGGGACTGCGCACTCACTGGCTGAGATGAGGTCCATGTACTGGCAGACAGCGTGGAGCAGCAGCCTCTCGAAGCTATGGACACATGGGCAGTGAGTGGCCAGGGCAGGAGTTCCCCCACCCTCTCTCTCTCTCTCTCTCTCACACACACACACACATGCACGCACACAGTTTGCTGCCCGCCACCCTGACCTGTTGTCCAGCATGGCTGTGTACACGGCCTGGGGGGACACAGAGAAGAATCCCAGCAGTCGCTCTTCCCAGGTTTCCAGTGTTTCCTGTGGAAAAATGGGGCCCAGAGCTCCAGCCACCGTGGGGCCCTGCTGCCCAAGGGCCAGAACACCCAAGACTGGAAGGTCAGAGCCCAAAGCCCTGGGTTCAAATGTTGCCTCTGACACACTCATGAGGCCACCTACTCTCCAATGACACCAGGCACTTACACATCCACACAAGTGTCCAGCCTRGGTCTCCTGCTTAGTGAACTCCTCCTTCCCAGAGGCACCCTGTCCATCTCTGGGTCCTGCAGTGTTGATGATCACGGTCTGGATCCCACCACCTCCCACCACCTCCGTGCCCTGGGTCACAGGCCTCCCTTCACCCCATCCTCAAACGAGAAACTGATGTAGAAAAGGCCATAAAAAGTCCCGGGAGGGTCTGCGGGTGTGAGGCCCTGGGTCGATTCTCAGCCCCAGGGAGTGGGTGGGGCAGGAGGCCGGCACTGGACACTAGGCACTCACCATGGGGATGCGGCTCCGCTTGAGGACGGCTCTCAGGCGCCGGCTGATGCGCTGGAAGCACTCCCGGGGTGTGTAGGCAGGGTCCTCT